TACGAAGTCAAGCCAGGAAGGCACTTTATGCATCCAGGACGTGCGAATATTCATCTGTAACACACATTTTCATCGATACAGCACGACATAAATGCAATTCAAAAGGTGGATTAATAGATGTAAAGAAGCACAATACCATTAAATCGCAAACTGTTTAGTAAATTCTTGGAAAACTTTGTTAGCGTCTAGCAAAAGCTCGTGTTCGGGCGTATTTGGACTTGCACTTCTGTCTGCTTGACGAAGTCGACATATATTCCGATAATACACAATGCAGAGGGTGACTTGTGTCAGTAAGTACTGTTGACGCTAGCGTTCTGCAAGAACAAACATTAGTGGATACAATTATGCCAACAAAAGTCAGCGTCGACACACCATTGCATCGTGACAAGTGTTTTAACGACCTGGAGATTGATCTGAGGTGCTTACCCACTAGGCAAAGAACACTCACTGGTGTGCAGTGCGTCCAGTATGAAATAGCACAAACAGTGACAAAACGAAATATCAGACAGAGGATTCCGTGGATGCTAGGCGTAGAGCCATCATCTCCTGACTTTTACGCACGTTTTGTTCAGGTGTTGTAACCCAGATAACTCGTATCTAAGCGTGACACTCCGTTATTTTAATGATGCAGAAAAGTGCAACTCCTTGCTGTTGATGTGGGGCTCCGGGCACTTCTTGAAAACCTGTTAATACCAGTTTCTTCTGTGCATTCAAAAGACGACCTTATTGCACTTGGACACGTTAAGTACCATCTCGCAGGTTTTCGACCAAAAGGTGAAATCGTTAAGAATATCTTGTTATCTGACTGAAGAAGCAGCGTTCGATAGATTGACGCCCAGGAGGATGTCATCCACGACTTCAGCAAGGTCGTCTCCTCGGGGACTGGTATTAAGCTGATGTAAGTGACAACTATAAGTGGTGACATAATAGCTCCCTGAAGAACACCGGTGTTTGTGATTAGGACTCGGGAGCTTCTGCATCCATGTCGCGTAACCTGAGTACGACCGGCAAAATAATTCACCAACAAAAGGGCGATAGAAGTATGTAATCCAGCACCAAGTGGACAGCCTATCCACAACTTGTCAACACGTTCTGAGCGTCGGTCTGAGCATTTTGAAAGCAGTTTAATCAGTCGGAAGTGTTAGATTCCTCAATGGCAAGTGATCGCCCAGCTTCCTGGGCTGTCCCTTTGGGTCTACCCTCGTTCAGAAATCGAACGTGAGATCGGACAGTCGTAGTTGAAAAATGCCGCTAGACCAGATGATCTTCATCCAGCCCTCTTCAAATTAGGGGGATCTGCTTTCTTGGATGATTTACATGAATTATTAGCGAAACTGTGGGGACAGGAAGTTGCCCCACCTGATTGGAGCCGCTCCCTTATTGTTCCCATCTTCAAAGGAGGCTGGCGTTTAGAATGCGACAGCCATAGAAGAATCAGTCTGATCTCTATCGCCTCCAAATTACTTGCCTCTGTAATCCTCAACAGACTGACTGGCGCTCGTGAAAGCCAGATTCGTGAGGAGCAAGCCGAGTTTCGTCGAGGTCGTGGCTGCATTAATCACATCTTCACTTTGTGTCAGTTGTTAGAGCACCGTCACATATATTGGCGGCCCACCGTGGACGTGTTCCTCGACATCAAAGGTGTCTTCGATTCGGTTGGTCGATGTGCCCTTTGGGACTGTCTACTGAGAAAAATTGTGCCTGAGAAATATTTGAATCTTATCCGCGCACCTTACGCACGTAGCACGGGCTTTTCAGCATCTCCAGCGGTGTGCGACAAGGATGCCCGCTGTCACCTTTCACCTTCAACTTCGTTATTCACGAAGTCATTGAGATTGCATTCACAGGATAGGACTTATAAGGTATGGATCTGTTCCCAGGAGAACGACTTCTTGACTTGGAGTATGCAGACGATATGGCCCTCATGTGTAACAGCTCCCAGAGGTGCCAAGCTGCACTGGACAGATTAGCACTGACTGTCAGCCACTTCGAGCTATGCACCAGCTATGCACCAGCAAAGCTTTCCTCCAAGATTGGCAGGAATCGCCTTCTGCGCTGACCCTTGTTGGGGATCAGCTAGAAGTCCTTCAGAAATTCAACTACCTAGGAAGTTGTATCAGTGCCCGTGGGATTGAAGATGAGATCACGAACCGTATAGCAAAGCACGAGGTGCTTTTGGAAGTTTTCGCCACCTATGGCGCCGGCGCGACATCACCATCGCTCTAAAATGTAGTGTACAATGCAGCAGTACCTTCGACCCTACTTTAAGGTTGTAAAACTTGGCCAGTTTGATCGGCAGACAAAGAGGATAGTTACGTTGGACCACCGGTGCCTTCGCAGTTTGGCTCACATCTGGTCGGAACAAAAAGCGCGTTCGACGTCTTGTTTACGGCACAGGAAAAGGAACTGAACCGCACAACACCGTCATGGCTCGGCCATGTGTTATGCATGCCAGTCCACCGACTCCTATGACGTGCGTTGTTTGCGTGCCGGGGGTGTGGATGGAAGAAGAGACGAGGTCGCCAAGCGATGCCTTGGTCAAAAGGAATGAAGGCCCTCACTTCGAAGCTGGCTTCAGTTGGAACGTCTCGGCTCCCTCGTTGGGGTCCGAAAGACGATGAACACGTTTGGCTGGATACACTTGCTGACATGGCTAGGAGTCGATTTCAGTGGCGTTCGTGCTGTGATTTTCTTTGTCCCTCCCCATTGCTTTTAGCCTCCCCCTCTAACCACGATCTCATTCCGTAGCATAATATAATTTTACATATTAATTACTTTTGTTCCCTAGTAGCCGGCTGCTAGCTTTCCGGAACGATACCCATCCGTAGCTGGTTTCTCAGCTGGCATGCAACTGTTGCATTTATTTTTTCCCTTTTATGTATTGCGGCATAGTAGTTGCGGTGTTTTACTCCTCTAGCTGACGTGTCTAATGATGATGATGATGCGTCCATGGTGACCGAGTAGATCTTTCAACAGAAACTCATTATTTGCACAGTCGAATGCATCACTGTAGTCCAGTAAACAAATTCGGGTGAACTTGATTATTCTGTCCAGCGATGACGCAACCGAATACGCAAAGCAGGCTACTGAGTCTTGGGCAGACCTCTACCTGCTGTTGCAATTTAAAGCGAATCATTTGACTGTTTTTATTTCAGTATCTTCTCGAGAATGCTTTTTCGGACACCTTTGAGGCTACTGAAGTACAAGCAATCGGTAGACATCTGCTTGGGCCTTTTTTGGACAATTTTATATTATTGAATGTACAATGTGTATAAATTACAAGAGGGAGGAGTTGGATGGTATAGGTAGCAATTCATCGATCGACTCTAGCTCAGTTGAATTCTTCTACCGATACAAGTGCGTCATTCTCCTCGTGAATCCAGATCACTTGTAGCCAAATGATGTTATCGGCGAATATTCTCGGAATTTGCTGGTACTTGGTAATCCATCCATTTCTCCTAAAAGCGCACCGATGTTTGAGGTCAATAAGATGGGTATATTCATGCTTCCCAGCTTTTCCTTCCGAAGGGCAACCTTCCACCCAACGCAATGTTTTCTTGCACAATTATTGCACTTCTTGGAAATTCGTTTTATTTTGTTTCTACTAAATTGGCCGTTGGGAGACAGCTTGTGAGCGCGAAAAATACGTTGCGACTTTTAAAATGTCCTGCATATAGTTCAATATGGTAACAGTTGTAGCTGGACAAAAAAGTGGAAGTACTATAGTTTTGATAACACCAAAGGCGTATGTATTAGTAGTACGACAGAAAGGAATTGCAATGCACGACCAACTTTGAAGTCTCCGCTACCATGTTTATTAAATGTCGCAATAGTGTGGATCAGTCGTTAATCGTTGTGATAAACATTGTTCGTCGCGACTCGGTGCCTTGGGGATGTAGGCTTCGGATAACGTCCTAATGTCCCACGTTCGGATTACAGCCCTGCTCTCTCTACTTATATATATATATATATATATATATATATATATATATATATATATATATATATATATATAATATTCACAAGTCTGTATACAGATAATGTGCCGTCAGCACCATGGCAGAAAGGAAGATAATAAGCGTACGAAAGAAAAGAAAAATGGCAGCGCTTTTTGGGTTTCACACACGCCGTTTTGGGTTTTTTAATCATATAAATATATACTGAGATTAATCAACAGATAAAACGGCACGGCAGCAGTAGCGCCACTTGTCTGTTACATGCCATCACATCCAGCGTTTGCAACCACAGGAATTCCGAGTCATGTGGTCCCCAACGTGGGAGGCGCGTGGATCCGTCTGAAGCTAAGCTTGTGTCTGCTTTCTTTATGTTCTTTTTCCACGTGATTGGTTGACGACCGCGACACTTTTTCCAGTCGCTTCCGGGAATCGCAAATAACGCTCGCCGGGAAAGGCGATATGCTGACTTCAGCATGCGGTGTCGGAGAACAACGTTTTGAAAGCTGGGGCTGTTCGATCTAAGCACTCGTTCGTATTGCTTCGTATTGCTTATGTGATGTTGCCACCACACACGAGTGATCCTTCGCGGTCAATGGTTGTCAAAAACTGACAGTCGTCTCATGTGTTCGGAGCGAACAGGCCGGGTCTCACAGCTGTACAGCAGGACCGTACGAACGAAAGCGTTGCACACCCTGCCGTTGAACTTGGGACTGGCGTCACGACGACGCCATAGGTGTTTCAGTTTGATGAAAGCAGAGCGAGCTTTTGCAATACGCTTCATCTACAACACCGCCACCAGCCGTGATGCGACTCTCTAGATAAGTGAGGCAAGCTGCTTCATATAAAATCCCAGTGACTGAATGTGGTTCGTTTCAGTGTGAATAGCCGTCCTGATTGAGTATGCGTGTCGCAACAATCCTTTCACATAACGGTACTACAAAATGACTCCCATTTATATTTAAACGTGCGCATTGCCAGTCTACTCAGAAGCGTTTTCCACCTCAGTGATTTCATTATTTGGACTCATCCATTTTTACTTTTCAGGTGTTCGGTTTAGGCAACAGCGCCTATCCTCATTTTAATGCTTGCGCAAAGCTAGTTGATCGTTTGCTTCATCGACACGGTGGCACTCGGCTTCTTCAGCCGGTTTTTAGCGATGAACTTCAGGATCAGGAAAGAACATTTCTTACCTGGCAGTTGCAAGTGACTGAGGCTATCAGGTCTCGCTTACATGTGATGGAAGCCGTCAATTCAAATGTACCGATTCGCCCTCTCTATCAAAAGATGTCAGTACCCCGAGGTGCACTGACTGGTGGTAAACTTTTTGTCGGCGAGCCACACACTTTGGGATCGTACAAATATCAAAAAATGTAAGAACCTCATCCATTTCCACTTGTGCCATGCACCCGGATTGAATTAGTTCAAGTGTGCTACTGCACTCTTTTGCTTATGTATCCAGCGGCATTGGTAAGCATATTCAAGCGTTCCTTGCAGCGTGTGCTAAATGAAACTGTTCAAATTGGAATTTATTTATCCTAGCAACATCTACTTTTGTTATAACGGCGTGCTTTTTTCGGATTATTCCTTCGCTGTGACTGTGAGCGACAGAAAAGTGTCCGTACATGTGGCCTGCGCTCTAGACATTCACTTGCTAGCGTAGACCTAAAGGAACTCGACCGGGAGGAGCACGCAGCTAGGGGTCACAAATTCATCGTTACCCCAAGCACAGATACCTTGAAGCAGTACTGTTTGAGACACGGGAACTCTAAGCTGCCGTGGATGCAACGTGCGTAAAATTGGCACACACAAATTTGGTGACCAATTGACTCATGATTGTCCGATAGATGATAACCGGTTACTGACGCAGTCTCGGATGAGGCACGCACACAAGGTAGCACATGTGGGCAGTGGCCCGCTTCGTCAGGGTTCCGGTTTTTGAGCCTTGTACCATCACGAAGACGACACGGATTGTCACTACCAATCAGGTTTAGTCATCCAATGGATCCAGCAACCTAGATGAACTAAGTACTGACGCCAAACAGTTAAACAGGGAACCCGCCATAAACTTCTGGGCGGAGTGGTTTGTCCATACTGTGTACGATACTCTTCACATGAAAAAGTGACCGAATCCGATCCAATCAAGATGGCCCACCATCGGCACGAGTGACACGTTTACGTCGTCTCTTTGTCCTCCTGGCTGTCTGATTATGGCGCAGAGCAGTGAATGTCTAAGAGGAACTGCCTGTTGTTACCTCCTTATCTTCACATGATAATCAGTGTTTGTGACCATGCTTTGTGGACAATGCCTAGGCGCCTTGTCCTGAATGTTTTTTGAACATTTATGCTTAACGTTACCTTCTTCATTCCTTCTTTTATTGATTATCACTATCTTTGTCACCGTGGTCTTATGGCTACAAAGCGTCAGTTCAAAGTACTGACGTACCGTCGTTGATGTTGATGACGTGCAAAATGAGTTCACGGAGTAAGATTCGAGCTCTAAAATTGTGAGAGCTCGATGCATTATGTGAGATAGAACCACCACTGCTTGAAATTCCAGTACGGTAAGCCAAGTTAAACTTCATACACCGAATCTTACTGACTAGCGACCGTTTCCCTTGTATGGCACTGAAACTAGTGGCTTGGCCTCGGTGTACAACAAAACCGAGCAAACCGGTGTTTTACACAGACGCGAACTTTAAAAGCTCGTCCATTTTTTTACGACTTCGGGTGTCACCAACTTATCCAAGGGAGTTTAAGACGAAACAAATTATGGCACCCACGCGATCTGTAAACCCGGTGGGATGTTTCGTGCATCCATAGATAAAAGTTTCGAAGTAGCTCTTAGCCACATTTCAGTTTTTACAAGCAGTCGTTGAGCAGCGAAGCATGACGCACTGGTCAACAAATTGTGCCGGCACCACAAGTGGCGATACTTTGCAAACCTTTCTCGAGTTCTTGCTGTACGGTTTTTCACTTCATCTTCTGTTCTACAAGTGCAGATGCAGTGGCCCAAGTAATTGAATTTTGGCGTGATTTTAGCTGCTCACCACCAATGGTCAATGCAGTGGGGTCTCTGACAATATTACACCATAGTTTCACATTTAAACGACGTGAACTTCTAATGTTAGTTTTAAATGAAGTATACTGGTTGCTATGGCTTGTTTCGCAACCGTACTTGCAGAGGTATGTGAGCACCTTCTTACATGATTCTTCATTTGTAAATGTAGCGCCAAACTCATCCAACACAGCACTTATATCAACGACCGAGACAATGTTCAGTGCAGCCAGAGGCTTGAGTTGGCGTTTTCGGCTGTCATCGATTTCAAAGGAGTCTTTAGGCTCACGTTGCTGGCATTTCTTATGAGGCTTTGGCTCAAGTGAAAATAGCCGACTTTTATTCCGGCGTCTTCTAAAGAACGGCAAGGAAAGACAGAACAATTATTCGGCCTGCTGACACACAGTGGGTTTCAGCCGCCGATTCGTTGCGACCTCGGCAGTAGGCGAGCGATGCTTAGTCTGTGTAGTTCTGTAGCTGGTTTTGCAACACTGTGCAGTACGGTACGTTCCCAGGGGTCGAACTAATGAGCACCCTCGGTGTGAATGCCATAACTGTCACAATTTGCTACTTTTGAAGGTATTGTCTAAAAATTGGATCTTGTTGGTGCCACAAATAGATAATATGGACACTTGTGACAATGAGACCAGATTGATAATATGTGTTCACTTTTAGTGTGCGCAGTCTTCCGTGTCCGCTTTTCTGTCTGTGCACTTTTTACTGTCCGCAATTTCCGTGTGCGGTTCCTTCGTGTGCGCTTTCATCATGGAACCCTTGTCTCCTATGGTTAGGTTTTAAAGGAAGATAGCCATCGACCTCTCCCTAACCTCCGAAGAGGATTGCATTGTAAAACTACCTTAGTCTGACCCCTATCCATTGATCTGTCTGGTATGCGTGACTCCGAATGCACTTGGAAAGTGCTATCCAGCCTAGCTCAGTGAGTCAAGGGGGTTTGCAAACCATCGCACCACGCTAACGTCCAGTCTTGTTGCGATGGCGTCCAGTCTTGCAGGCACTCTCCGATATTTAGTGGGAAAACCACTATGTCAACGGCTCCGAGTAGGGTCGCTTAAGTTGATCTGAATTCACGCCGTCACCTTGTGGGTTGGATTGTTGATCCAAGAACGTGGCGTGGCATTTCAAACGAACTCCTCGGATCAGACTGCCAGAGCGTATCACTTGTCTACAAGACAAAGTCGCTGGTAATCTTCCCTGTTCAATCTCCTTTTACTGCCGCTACTCCCATCATGTTCACCACAGAGACTACTGCTTCCTTCGTTAGCCGCGCTTGCAAGGAACCCCCCGCCCTCTTTCAAACCGTGGGTGCCATTCTGCATTATCTCTTTCAACCTTCGCGTACTGTTAGGTAGGCTAGTAACGACACTCGGAGTTGATGATTGATGTGCCTCAGAAACACTAGTGCAGGGCAACAGCGCTGTAAGCGACAAATTTGTTTGGAACCTTGAATAGCGTGTAGAACTCCCGGGTCAAATCAAGTCAAAGTCGGACGTGAACTATGGTGCTCAGCAATACCCGCACAGTACGAAAGAAATCGAGTCTTCATAGCCAGTGTGCGAATAACCGTGCCAAACACAAAAGCCAGAGACCGCGTAAAGTCACACAGGCGTTTATACAGCACCACATAACCGTATGAAGTAGTTTGGTCTCTGTACACAGGGTAGAGGATGCCGATTTACCTGTCAGTCGGGGTGCACAGGCAAAATGTAGACCGGGTTTAGCAGATGTGGCAGATTGCAGCTGTGGCGATTCCGAGCGAAATTCGGATATCCCACTATCGGTTTGTTTGGACAATTTTGCCGTTCACGACTGCCCTCACTGGTTTGCGTTTACCAGACTCGGACTTGCACCTTTTTGCGCCTCCATTGATGCTAAGTCAGCGACTCGCCATGTTTGCAACGTTTGAGTCTCTTAGCAGATGTAATCTTTTACTTTTTTATCAATAAAGAGCCACTCATGTGCTATTTCACTTTGAAGCTCTATCGGAGTCAACAAATTGCGGCAGAAAAATAAAATGCGTACGTGTTCTTTCAGCTCCACACATTTGCTGTTAGCGCGACTGCGGTAGCTCTCTCTCTCTCTCTCTCTCGCATTTCGCATGAACAAGTACGGATCTCGTGATCGTCATTTCGCATGGGTGTAACGGCGCACCAGGCCGCTTTGGGGCCGATACTTGCCATACCGACAATGGTGACTGCTTTCTTTGACGGTACCATGAGGTCACCCGCACCTACATGGATTTGAATCATTGACATCTAGATTACCAGAAAGGCGCGGAATCCTTTCGGCCATCAGCCGAATGTAGTCTGAACACAACCTCTATGTCAGCGGCGCAGCTTTCTATCACAAACGATCGCGGTCACCAAATGACCAACTGTTTTTCCGCTTTGGCATCAGATATGTCAGGCATCAGTGCAAAATGGTCGGGCAACCTGGATCACCTACCTCGGATCTGGCCAAAGTCCTGTGCATGTTCACCTAACACTCAATCTCCCTGCTTCAGCTGCGTATTCAAATTCGCGTGTTTAAATTCGCTCATCAGCTGTATTTACGATCCACTAATCAGGAATAGCGATCAAAACTTCAACGCCAGTTGCCAGTCTTGAATAAAGTAGACGAATCGAATGCGTACTCCAACCACTTCCGGCTGGCTATGCAAATGACACTCGAAGTTACTTTCTGCCTAACTGGCGGCGTAAGAAGAGTGGATGTATTTCTGGCGCGTCTGATGGAAACAAAGAAGGTGATTCTATTGAGATGTTAGTTTCAGGGTGTCCATAACACTGTGAGAATGGATCGGTGCATGTGATGGAGTGGCGACGATCTGTGTACTGTGGCAGTCCACCGCCATCAAGAACATTGAGTTGTTCCAGCTTATTCCACACGCGGACCCATGATACGCACCCGTGGGTAAAACAATTACAGCAAAAGTGTGACGACTGGTCCACCTATAAACGAATTGGCTAGAATGCTAACTGAGCATTTTCATTAACATATTGGTTTCCTCTGGGCACTAGAATTGATAGTTGTGTCATCTGAAACTACTTAGGAAATCAACGTAACAAGTCCCACCGCCTAAGAGATCCGTCACGAGACGGTGTTAATGAAACGGACAAGGCATCCAGCTCCATTTTCCTTCAACTGTCGTTGCTGATATACGGTGGTGCCTCGCTGGTGGTTTCCTTAGTTGCTCTCTGATACTGGTAGTTGTTCGCCGTTTTGCTCAACTTTAAAAGGGACCAAAAGGGTGCCCTACAATATCCTGGAGTTGTCACTCTGAACTCATTTCCCTTGGTC